TTGCTAGAGAACCAGTTCGGATTCAAGTATAACTTTTGTATGACTGAAGCTTTTAGTGATAGGTCGAATTCTTTAATATTTAATAATTCTGTCCTCCGAATTCATATTCATTATATAAATAGGACCGTTTAATTTAGCTGGCTTGCCGTTCCAAATAAAATGGAATATTTCTTTCTCATATAATTAAAAAAAAACTGTTCGCTAGGCGTAGGCAAGACCATAAGCAAATAGGTACACTGGGATAATACTACAGAGTTAATTGGGTTGATTTTTCCACAAATTGACAGGTATTTACCTTTCCATGGTAACAAGATCTTATCTATTTTTGCTAACTTTCTATTAAAATTTGTTGGAGTGAGATCATTTATTTCATTTGGGAAATGTATTCCGACCATTTTATTGGTAAACTACAAGGTAATGTAAAAATTGTATTTTTTAGTGATCCAATATGTAATATAGTACATTTATCATAATTTGGTTGTAATCCAGATAGGTTAGAACATGTGCAAGTACACAGGTCCAGTGTCAACAGACCAGCCAAAACAATCTTGTAAGAATTGTACTTAAACTCCCCCCTCAAACTGAACTGGAGCACAAGCATTTTAAGTAGCTAAGCTGGTTATCTGTGGAAAAATAGTATTATTAATCCAACTATTTTTGGAGATTTCTACCTGCATAATACCAGAGCAAGAGACTCTAATATTCAATGTTTTAAATATAAGAGTCTATCTGGTGAGAACACATTTCAATATACCAATGCCGTTGAGTGGAACAAACTACCACAGCAACTCAATGCCATACCAACCATAATCACTTTTAAAAAGAATGTCAAATGTGTGAATAGTAGAACCTTTTAATCTCTGTAATGTGTCTGTAGCAATGTAATTGTATATGTATTTATGCAAAAAATAAGGACCACAATGGAAATAAGTCCTTGACCTACAGTTGAGGAACAATGGGAATACAATTCTGCTTTGAAAGTTGATAAACTTTTAACCTCACTTTTGAGAAAATGGCCCTTTAATGTTTTGGTAACTACTGGAGAGATCTTCTTTGTCTACACCCATTCAGCATCATTCACACCCTCTTAAGCTTTAGCCCCAACCATCTTTTTAAGGATTCACATGTGAGGCTATGTACTAAACAACCAAAGATTTCAAGACTAAAGGCTGGTTTATACTACGGGTGTGTTCGGGAATTTAATCCGGTGTGCCAGAGTGTACTCTGGGCATTCGTAAACTCAGAGCGTTGTCAGATTGTCAGTTCGTAAATTCAGAGCATTTCGCTCTTGGAGCGTTCAGAGCGCACACTGGACGCTCTGGCCGAGGAGTAGGGTTGATCCGAGCGTTCTGACCCTAACAACAGCAATCAAGCACCCACACTAAAGGGCTAACGTTGGCTAGCTTGCTAGCTACAGTACTTCCAGACACAAATGGAACAGCTCACTGACCATTTAACTCGCTCTAGCAGAGATGGTTAGGCTGTTTTTATGTTATCCAAAGCGTTGATGACTGCAACTGTGCTACTGGCAATAAGTTAATTACACTTTTTTGCCAACGTTTCATGACATCTGCCATATTCAACGGGTGTTGAGCGTTCGTAAATTTGTCAGTTATTCTGCAATCTGGCACACTCAGACAAGAGTGCTCTGAAATCGGAGTAGATAGACAGAATGAATTTACCAGCTACGTCTATCGACAGTTGTCGCAGTGACATCATAAACATTCTATTTAAATAGTTACTTGCATTATGGAGTCTTTTGTTTAGACATGTAGCTAGCTAGCTAGCTAAACAATGAACAATAATCCCAACTCATAACGTTACTACCCTGCATGAATCTGCAGGTAGCTAACCAACCAGATTCATTGTTAGCTAGCTGCAATCAAATGACAGAATTTTCTCCATCTCCTTAGCTATCATACTCTAATTCCACTGATTTCAAAACTCGTTCCTCCAGAAAGTGGAGAGCAACATTTATGCAGTTCCACTATGTGATATATTTTTAAAAAGCCAAGGATTACCTACACATACTGACCAGCTCATGCTACAGACAGAAGCTTGCTACATGGCAGACCAATCCGAACTCATCTCTTGGCATGTCCAGCCCACTCATTATCTCATCCAATCATGGCTAGCGGGAAGGTTGCTGTCTTTTTCCGTGGCTAAACCAAGTAGGCTCCTAATTTAACAATTGTATTCGTATTTACAGATGACATACAAGTTTGTTATTCAGGCACATGAAAGTTCACATGTTCCAGAAGGCATTTCTGAAAAAAAAAAAAAAAGCATTTTGATGAAGAAAAAAAAGTTTGCGTTCAAATGGCGCTCCTGTGAAGTAGTGACGCGCGACATACGCCTAGTTTCCTGAAACGGGTCACATATGGCATCAAAATGTTGAAAATTGGATATCCCCCTAGCTGATCATTGAGCATGGATAGTCAGATTAATATAATAGTTTGATTAAAATGTATACATGCTTTGCAAGAAGAATGATTTCCCTAATAATCCTGTTTACATGTCCACATCTGACATTTGATAAATGCTAAAAATCTGTAAAATCTAAAGAAATGTTCTACGACAGTGACCATAATATTTTTGTGAAGCCTATTTGATTCTGAGTTCAGAAATATACATTTTGTGTGTGAAAACGACACTATTTATACAAAAGTATGTGGACACCCCTTCAAATTAGTGGATTCTGCAATTTCAGTCACACCCGTTGCTGACAGGTGTATAAAATTGAGTACACAGACATGCAATCTCCATAGACAAACATTGGCAGTAGAATGGCCTTACTGATGAGCTCAGTGACTTTCAACATGGCACCGTCATAAGAAGCCACCTTTCCAACAACTCAGTTCTTCAAATTTCTGCCCTGCTAGAGCTGCCCCGGTCAACTGTAAGTGCTGTTATTGTGAAGTGAAAAGTCTAGGAGCAACAACGGTTCAGCCGCAAAGTGGTAGGCCACACATGCTCACAGAATGGGACTGCTGACTGCTGAAGCGCGTCTGTCCTCGGTTGCAAAACACACTACCGAGTTCCAAATTGCCTCTGGAAGCAACATCAGCACAATAACTGTTAGTCGGGAGCTTCATGAAATGGGTTTCCATGGCCGAGCAGCCGCACACAAGCCTAAGATCACCATGCGCAATGCCAAGCGCCGGCTGGAGTTGTGTAAAGCTCGCAGCCATCAGACTCTGGAGCAGTGGAAACACGTTCTTTGGAGTGATGAATCACGCTTCACCTTCTGGCAGTCCTAAAAACAAATCTGAGTTTGGTGGATGCCAGGAGAAAGCTACCTGCCCAATGCATAGTGTCAACTGTAAAGTTTGGTGGAGGAGGAATAATGGTCTTGGGCTGTGATAGAAGAATTTGGTAAATTAATAATGACTAATTATTACACCCTGAAACTGTGTGAAAAGTGTTAGAATCATAAGACTATAATCTGATAAGATGTGTAGCTTAGTTAGAAGTACAATGAGGCAGTCAGAATATTGTGAGAACGGCGATAACTGAGGAATGCAGGGAGTAAACTATGACAAGAACACATGTGTGTGAGCAGAGGAAAACATGAGCTAAACCCATGTACAGTGGAAAAATACAGCCCGCCTAAAGCGGGGTGGGATTTTTTGTATGACGTGTGAGTATAAAAGATGTACTCTGAAATTGTGATAACAGAATTCTCAATGAATAAAGACCTGACTATGCAGACTGGGACTCTGTTCGTTTCTTGATCCAAAAGCATTACAACCTTTTGGGAGACGCACAGAGACACTGAAATAGTTTAGTTAAACCATTGAGATTGAAAAATTCACTTAACAGACTGTTTTTCATTGTTCGTGCTAGGCCCCTTAGTTCCAGTGAAGGGAAATCTTACTGCTACGGCATACAATGACATTCTAGACAATTCTGTGCTTCCAACTTTGTGGCAACATTTTGGGGAAGGCCCCTTCCTGTTTCAGCATGACAATGCCCCCGTGCACAAAGCGAGGTCCATACAGAAATGGTTTGTTGAGATTGGTGTTTAAGAACTTGACTGGCCTAAACAGAGCCCTGACCTCAACCCCATTGAACACCTTTGGGATGAATTGGAACACCGACTGCGAGCCAGGCCTAATCGCCCAACGTCAGTGCCCAACTTCACTCTTGTTGCTGAATGGAAGCAAGTCCTCGCAGCAATGTTCCAACATCTAGTGGAAAGCCTTCCCAGAAGAGTGGAGGCTGTTATAGCAGCAAAGGGGGGACCAACTCCATATTAATGCCCATGATTTTGGAATGAGATGTTCGACTAGCATTTGTCCACATACTGTTGGTCATGTGGTGTATTTCTAAGATACACACATTCAGTTTTTCTCAACTCACTTTACTTGCGCATCAGAGTGGTGCTTGTGCTACTGGTTCTGACACATGTGCAGATCCAATACACCGCTGGAATGCTGATTAAGCTGTCCTAATAGCTAGAAAGATTCCTCAAAAAACCAGGTTTTTTAATCTGTAAATCTTTACTTCGATTATGACCTTCGCTGATTAAGATAAGCAGAGTAAGGTGTTTACATGACTAATGCTATGCTCGGCCTCCTGCCATAAGTAGTTTAATATCAAATTATTAGTGTGCATGTAAACATACTCAATGTCTGCAGCCGGCTCTGATCGTAGCGTTGGCCTGATGAAATAGGCTGGGAGAGTGAGCTCGTTTGTGGTGGTCGGCAAACCCTCAACCTTCTTGCCTTTAGCCCAGCGTGGCATCGACTGTGGCACAAAAGTATGCTGAAGTGGCAAAGTCGATATCCACTTCATAAACACAGGGTCGCTACAGTTATTGTTATTTGTGGTCGTACACATTATTTTGAGTTAATTCTATGAGGGGGGAGGGTGTGCATTTTATTAAAATGTTTGTAGGGAAAGTACCCATAGCCACAGAAAGTAGGGGTGCTGGGGGTGCGGCCTTTACTAGTCATGTACTAGCGGACCGACATACCCCCAAACTACTTCCTGCGGCTATGAAAGCACCGGAAGGGATTACTCATATTTGGGGTGGTGGAATGTTTAGATTCAAAGATTCACTGAAAAACAAGTTCAGCCTCACAGTAGACTCCTCCAGCAATACTGTGACTTTAACAGGACAGAGTCTGCAGACTGAAGACACAGCTGTGTATTATTGTGCTCACCTCCACAGTGATACAAACCAGCACAGGACCTGTACTAAAACTCCATCACACTCATATGAATAGAAAAGTAGCTGAACACTAAACAGGTGTATATACAGTATATATAAGAAATATCAATTAAAACACATACTTTGTAGGCTACATGAAAACAGTATTACTACAATTCCATAACAGTGATATTCCGTCCATCAAATCTGCTAAAAAATGTATTATAAACATTCATATTCAAATCAAAGTATGATTAGCATCATGCACCCCTTTTCATTTGTTTGGTGAATTCTGTCTCTATGTGGAGAGTAATCACCCCTCCTTCAGGCCACTAGAGGGCGAGCTAGGCTAAGGTGAACTGAATGGTTTTTATAGTAAGGTATCATTATAATAATAATAATATGTCATTTAGCAGACACTTTTATCCAAAGCGACTTAAAGTCATGCATGCATACATTTTTGTGTATGGGTGGTCCCGGGGATCGTACCCACTACCTTGGCGTTACAAGCGCCGTGCTCTACCAGCTGAGCTACAGAGGACCACTACTGTTATTCATTCTCCTTATTCAAATGTAAATTAACTCACTGTCTCGACAAGTGAAGTTTTCAGGTAAAATGAACCTGTTTCCCATCTCTGACTCTCCATGTGATCTTCCCACCCTGTGAGGAGGAGTCAATGCAAAACTCTGACCTCTTCCATCACTACTTATCTCTACGTCTCACGTTTTCTGGTCTTTCTAGTCTAACCATTTTGTAACGTGTAGCTTCAGCTTCACGCTTCTTGGTCTTGTAGAGTGTCAACCATTTTTAAGCCGTGGGGCTTACTGGTCTGGTAGAAATTCAACCATTTGCAACGTTTGACTCACGCTTCACGTCTGCTGGTCTAAAGGTTGATTTGTTTTTCAAGGCTTTTTATGCACTCGTGGTAAAAGGGTCGTTAAATTATGTTTACACAATCTCTGATGTCACTCGGGGCGTGGCTAGTCACTGTGCATAGTTTATATGAAAAACTATTATCTCATCATAAGACTAAAATCACAATCCTATCTTCACCAAAATACTCTCATACTTAATCATATATTTTATACAACATTTAGATGTAAACTTTCCGAGTTACAGTTATTACTTGATACCATCCTTATTGACATCACAAAATAATAAACAATATGACATGATTATTCTTTAGATCCCCACTGACCATTTCCCACATTCTTTTAAGTAGGAATATTGTTTAATTATCCACTTGGTGCCTTATTGCTATTATAATCTGTTTACCAACGTAAACATTTATGTTTTGTCATACCCATGGTATGCGGTCTGGTATACCACAGCTGTCAGCCAATCAGCATTCAGGACTTAAACCACCCATTTAAAATATATAATACTTTACAAAACAGTTAACTGATGGTGAAAAATATTAAAAAATATTTGAACAAATGATATATATTTGTATTTTCACCTATCCACATACCATCTGAATGTGTTGCTATCCTCATAGAGCAGGTGTGTGGTACTGGTGGGAGGTTTTTGTTATGGTGTGTATCACTGTGACTATACAGTTACGGTTGGGATCTATTGGAGGGTCACAGTGATATTACGCCGTACAAAAACCCTTTGCTCCTGTATGGACACATCAACACTGAACAGGTCAAATAAACACCCCCCACGACAATGGTACCAATATAAACCTACTGAAACTTCAATATAAACATGATTTTGTCCATAGCCATGTTATTGGATTTTATACTGCAACATAAATACATACATTTGCAAACAACAGTCACAAACTGACAATGGCACAAACATTGAAGATTAATATACCAACTCATAGAGAATATAATACTGGTACGAATCTGTAGTAATGCTACAATGTATAGTTTTAGCCATGGTTTTATGTTTCTTATACCTGACTGAGAGCAGACAGAGTCATATGGAATCCCTATGGAGATGTGAAGGAGGTGTTATTGTGCTGGGGTATATCTAAAAATGTTACATTTGTGATTTTTCATCAGAAATGATTACTTATGGGTACCTTCATGTGTGTGCAAAATATTACTGTTCTCAGATTTTTTATTCATAGATTTGAGATGTGTATAAATATATATATTTTTGCAAAACACTATATATCCAATGTTTAGCTGGAATGACATTTTAGTATCCTATATATTTGACTGTGATATGTGGTTGTCTCACCTAGCTATCTTATGATGAATGCACATACTGTAAATCGCTCGGGATTAGTGTAAATGTTTTACATACTGATCTCAAATTACTGTATTGAATTATAAAAATAAAAATATACATTTTTAAAATATGAATGTCAGAAATGTATAATTTGTACAGTTCTTTATTACAAATTACTTATTTATTTCTGAGTGAGGCAGATATATATCATTTTGCAAAAAAAACATGATCATTTGTATCTCTGAAATGAAACCATCAAGTGATAGATTTTAAACAAATACATGTAAAGTGCATTCGGAAAGTATTCAGTCCCCTTCCCTTTTTTCCACAATTTGTTACGTTACAGCCTTATTCTAAAATGGAAACAATTATTATTTACCCATGTGAGAATGGTGCCAGCACAATACACAGTAATGTAAATGTATTTCCACATCAAGATATTCAGACTAATAATCAGTCACATAAACGGTCAAATTATAATTTGTAAGTTAACCTTACAAAAAACGTTAAAACCATACATCATTAAAAGTTTTAATGAAATGTAAACCCAAACAAAATGTAGAACTTTTGTTCCCATGTTGCTGATCTTCAACATATCATACTAAAGCCATTATATATAGTCAACACATCATACTAAAGCAATTATATATAGTCAAGACATCATACTAAAGCCATTATATATAGTCAACACATCATGCTAAAGCCATTATATATAGTCAACACATCATACAAAAACCATTATATATAGTCAACACATCATACTAAAGCCATTATATATAGTCAACACGTCTCATCAGTAAAATCTGAACTACAGAGAGTAGAATAAAGGACAGGGAGAAGAGAATCAAGGAATAGAATAGAAGATCTCTCCCTGTCAGGATATTTAAACCTCTAGAGGGCGGTCTATGCAAAGTCTCCCTCCCCTTCATCCCTTTATAATCAGACACTCAGCTCTGACCTTCTCATTATAGACAGCTTGGACTGATATTACAACATTACAAGTCCTGTACTAACTAATACTGAACAATGGAACTGAAGCCTGTCTGGAGTTTAGTTGTCATGGTGATGTCCATACACAGTAAGTAAAGCATTACATGGTGACTGAAGAAATGTCTGAGTATCATGGTCAACTCTAAATCAATTTAAATACCACATCTTCAATTGTGTCAATGTTTATTTTTTTTTGCAGGTGTTTGTTGTGATATCAGACTGGATCAGACACCTTCGCAGGTGAAAATACCTGGACACTCTGTTAAAGTGTCCTGTACAATCTCTGGTTATTCAATGACTAGCAGTAACATTCACTGGATAAGGCAGAAACCAGGGAACGGACTTGAGTGGATTGGGAGAATGAACACTGGTTCAGGCACAGATGTTATCTATGCGGACTCCCTGAAAGGCCAGTTTATCCTGACTGAGGACGTCTCCACAAGCACACAGTTCTTAGAGGCCAAGAGTCTGAGATCAGAGGACTCTGCTGTTTATTATTGTGCTCGACAGACACACTGACTGGAGCTGGTGAAGCAGCTGTACAGAAACCCCCTAACAACACGGCTAGGTGGTGTACTACTTCCTCTCTTTGTGTCACACTAGAATAATACTGAGTATCATTACTGTAAATAATACAACAACAATATCACAAAGCACTACGCTATAAAAGAGTCCAGCCTCCAACATTCAAACTACACAATCAAACTATCTCTTGCCCAGTCAGCTCGATCTTTCTGGTTGTCACATCAACAAGTAATAAACAAAGTATTCAGAATACATGAACCTGTTCCCCATCTCTGAATTCTCTATTTAATCTCTGTGTGATCTTCCCACCCAGTGAGGAGGAGTTAATGCAAAACTCCGAGCTGTTCCATCACTACTTATCTCACTGCAGAGTGGAGGAGAGGACTGAAGCTCTGACTAGACTGAAGAACAGAGACACACCATACCTACTAATAGTTCATCATGTCATTTATTATTGTGGTTCTACTGATGACAATAGGCTTGACTGGTGAATACTTTTAGAAATTTTTTATTTGACACAGAATAATCACAGAAGTTTTCAGTCCAGGGATTTTCCCTAATGTTACTTTGTTTTCAAAGGTGTTCAGGGTCAGTCATTTACTGAGTCTGGACCAGTGGTCAAAAAGACTGAAGAATCACACAAACTGACCTGTTCACATTCAGTAGCTACTGGATAGCTTGGATCAGACAGGCTCCTGGGAAAGGACTGGAGTGGAGTGCAGCTGTTACTGGCAGTGATGTTGGCAGTAATTTCTAACCCCAGTCTGTTCAGGGTCTGTTCACCATCTCCAGAGATAATAGCATTTTTATTTATTTGTTTATTTCACCTTTATTTAACCAGGTAAGCCAGTTGAGAACAGGTTCTCATTTACAACTGCGACCTGGCCAAGATAAAGCAAAGTAGTGCAATAAAAACAACAGAGTTACATATGGGGTAAAAATAAAAAACATAAAGTCAGAAATACAACAGAAAATATATATACAGTGTGTGCAAATGTAGCAAGTTATGGAGGTAAGGCAATAAATAGGCTATAGTGCAGAATAATTACAATAGTATTAACACTGGAATGCTAGATGTGCAAGAGATTATGTGCAAATAGAGCATGAAACATGTGTATCTCCAGATGAACACTGAAGACTAAAGACTGCTGTTTATTATTGTGCCAGAGATACAGTGACACAGCATGATGCAGGGCTGAACAAAAACTGGTCATCACTGATCTCTAAACCCTATAATGAGTCTATGGTCCACTCTGTCACCATCAACTCCATGTCATCCACAACACACACACTGGTTGACACATACCATAGTCTCACATACAGGTTGAAACATACCATGCTCAATTGTATATAAAATAATTAAAAACATTTTATAAGAATATAAATAAATCACAAATAATAATTGAATAGGCCAAGTATAGATTGTTTATTGAAACCAACAGTTATATTGCTATATGGTGTGCCATTGCAAGAAACATAGATTACAATATTGATTGTTTTGATAGTAATAAGATGCTGTAAATAAAGTGAGATTCCAAAGTTTATAATACAGACTGATGCAGCTTATAACAGTCATACCAATCAATCTACTGAACATGTCATTGTGATACTACGCTCTCTACTTACACTGTCTACTTACACTCTCTACTTACACTCTCTACTTACACTGTCTACTTACACTCTCTACTTACACTCTCTACTTACACTCTCTACCTACACTGTCTACTTACACTCTCTACTTACACTCTCTATTTACACTCTCTACTTACACTGTCTACTTACACTCTCTACTTACACTGTCTACTTACACTCTCTACTTACACTCTCTACTTACACTGTCTACTTACACTCTCTACTTACACTCTCTACTTACACTGTCTACTTACACTCTCTACTTACACTCTCTACTTACACTGTCTACTTACACTCTCTACTTACACTCTCTACTTACACTCTCTACTTACACTGTCTACTTACACTCTCTACTTACACTCTCTATTTACACTCTCTACTTACACTGTCTACTTACACTCTCTACTTACACTATCTACTTACACTCTCTACTTACACTCTCTACTTACACTCTCTACTTACACTGTCTACTTACACTCTCTACTTACACTCTCTATTTACACTCTCTACTTACACTCTCTACTTACCCTCTCTACTTACACTGTCTACTTACACTCTCTACTTACAATATCTACTTACACTCTCTATTTACACTGGCTACTTACACTCTCTACTTGCACTGTCTACTTACACTGTCTACTTACACTCTCTACTTACCCTCTCTACTTACACTGTCTACTTACACTCTCTACTTACACTCTCTACTTACACTCTCTACCTTTCACTGTCTACTTACACTCTCTTTTTTCCCCAAATAAAAATGTTCCCCAAAGAAACGCCCTTTTGCACCATTTTAAAAAACCCCCATTTTGAACCATAACAAGCTTTTGTAAAACAAAAAGTTATTAAGCCAAACCCCAGCAAAAAAAAAATTTCCCCCACAAACCATTTTCAAAAAAATTTTTTTAAATTTAAAGAAAGTCTCCAAAAACCAAAAAGGGGGGGGGGGAAAAAATTTCGGAAAAATGGCCCCCGCGGAAAAACCTGGAGGCGTTTTGAAAAGCTCCCCCCCCATCCCTTTTAACCCTCAGTTTGATTTCCCATTAAATTTCTTTTCAACAAATACACCCTTAAAAAAAAACCAAAAAAGGGAAGCCTTATTATTTATTTTTTTCCAAACCAAAGAAAAAAGGGGCAAAAAATTCTAATACTTTCCCTCAAATCAAAAACCTTTTAATTGGGGTCATTTTTTTTTTTTATTTTTGGGAAAACGGGAAAAACCCTTGGAAAAATTAAATTTGTGTTTCAATTTTTTTTTTTTTAAAACTTATTTTTTTTTGGGGGGGTTTTTATTTGGGGAAAAACCCCCAAACCCCCCCCCCCCCCCCCCCCCCCCCCCCCCCCCCAAAACCCCCCCCCAAAACCCCCCCCCCCCCCCCAACCCCCCCCCCCCCCTTTTCCCCCCCCCCCCCCCCCCCCGCCCCCCCCCCCCCCCCCCCCCCAAAAAACCCCCCCCCCCCCACCCCCCCCCCAAAAACCCCCCCCCCCCCCCCCCCCAACCCCCCAAAAAACCCGCCCCCCCCCCCCGGGGCCCCCACCCAAAAAAAAACCCCCCCTAATTTTCCCCCTTTTTTTTTAATCCTTTATCTTCCCCCCCCGGGGGGGGGAAAAAAACCCTCCACTTTTTCTTAAGAGGGGGGGGGGAGAAGCTCATAGACTAAAACGAGACACAAACCTACTAATTTCAGCATTTTTATTGTGGTTTTTTGGAAAAGGCTTGACGGTGAATACTTTTTAGAAATTTTTTATTTGACACAGAATAAACACAGAAGTTTTTAGTCCAGGGGTTTTCCCCAATGTTTACTTTGTTTTTTAAAAGGTGTTCAGGGTCATCTTTACTGGTCTGGACCCGTGGTCAAAAAACTGAAGAATCACACAAACTGACCTTTCCCCTTTAGTAGCTACGGTAGCTTGGTCAGACAGGCTCCTGGGGAAAGGGCTGGGGTGGGGTCAGCTGACTGGGGTGATGTTTGGGATTAATTTTTAAACCCCTCTTTTTCGGTCGTTCACCACCCAGAGATAATACTTTTTTTTTTTTTTTTATTTTCACCTTTTTTACCAGTGCCCTTGAAACGGGGGGCCTTACAACTGCGACCTGGCCAGAAAAGCAAAATATGCTAAAAACCAAAAAGTTACATATGGGGGGAAAAATAAAAAAAATAAAGTCAAAAAACAACAGAAAAAATAATTTCAGTGTGTGCAAATGTAGCAATTAGGAGGTAAGGGAATAAATAGGCTTTGTGCAAAAATTACAATATTTTTACACGGAAACTAGATGGGGCAAGAGATTATTGGCAAAAAAGCATGAAAAAATTGGTATCCCAGATGAAACGAAGACTAAAGACTGCTGTTTTTTTTTGCCAGAGATACGTGACACACAATGAAAGGGGTGAACAAAAAAATGGTCACACTGATCTCTAAACCCATAATGATTTTGGTCCACTCTGTCACCATCAACTCAGATAAACACACAACTGGTTGACACAACATAGTTCACACAAAAATTCCATAAAATTGACATACAATTATTTAAAATAATTATAAAACATTTATAAGAAAAAAATAAATCAATAATAATTAATAGGCAAGTATAATTGTTTATTGAAACCAACAGTTATATTGCTTAGGGGGCCATTGCAAGAACATAGATTACAATATTGATTGTTTGATAGTAATAAGATGCTGTAAATAAAGTGAGATTCCAAAGTTTATAATACAGACTGAATCAGCTTATAACAGTCTACAATCAATCTACTGAACATGTCATTGTGTACTACGCTCTACTTACACTGTCACTTACACTCTCTACTTACACTCTTACTTACAGTCTACTTCCTCTCTACTTACACTCTCTACTACACTCTCTACCTACACTGTCTACTTACACTCTCTACTTACAATCTCTATTTACACTCTACTTACACTTAACATTCACTTACCTCTACTTTACACATATCACTTACACTCTCTACTTACACTTCTACTTACACTGTCTACTTACAACTATACACTCTACTTACACCTTACTTCACTTCACTACACTCTCACTCTACACTGTCTACTTACACTCTCTATACACTCTCTACTTACCTCTACCACACTGTCTACTTACACTCTTACTTACATCTCTATTTACACTCTCTACTTACACGTCTACTTACCTCTACTTACACTATCTACTTCACTCTCTCTTACAATCTCTACTTACACCTCTACTTACACTTTATTAAACCCTCACTTAAAACTCTATTTACAAAATCTCTATTTTCACTTCTACTTACCCCCTTTTACTTACCTTCTATTTCCCCCTTACTTACAAAACTACACAATTCATTACACTGGCTACTTACACTCTCTTTCTT